GTGGGAGAGGGAGAAGCAGGCTTCCCGCCAAGCAGGGAGCCCGATGTGGGGCTCGATCCCAGGACCCTGGGATCATGACCTGAGCTGAAGGCAGAGGCCTAACGACTGAGCCACCCAGGCGCCCCATGGCCTCACCTCTTAATTCCATCACACTGGGCATGAGGATTTCAAAATATGAATGGGGTGGGGAGACACAAACATTCGGTCAGTAACAGAAGTAAAAGGGGCAAGTGAGGAGCTACATCTAAGGTATTGCCTTAGGAGGACTCTTGGAGCTGGCTGTCACTTTGTCACTTGGATGGATATCCAGGAGGAGGTGCAGGGTTTGGGGAGGCTGAGTTCAGCTTGGCAAGGAATGAGTTCAGGATGCTTGCGAGATGTTCTGAGTCTCTGGTGGAAAAGCCCAGGAGGGAGGTGGGGTCTGAAGGTCAGGGACAGGTGGGGGCTGGGGCCATAGTTCCAGAGTCAGCAGCATGCAATGGGCAGCCTAGGAGACACCTGGACAACTGAGAGCCAGGGCCCTAGTTCTGGCAGGGAGATCGAGACTCAGAGCACACAGAAGTTCAAAATGACAGTATGAAAAGGAGTTTTTGTAGGGCTTTTCTAATTTCACTTTGCATATAATTTCACATCTCCATTGAATCCCTTTGGAACACTGTGTGTATATGGTTTGAGGAGGTGCTCGCCTGAATGTTCTCAGATGGCTACCCAGTTATTCAAGTACTATTTTTAAATGAATGTTTTCTTTAATTTGGGAATAATTCATAAATGCACAAGATGCAAATTCCCAAAGGCACACAAGGGTATAAGATGGAATTGTTTCTCTTCTCCCCGGTCCCCCCACTCAGATCCTCTCCCCAGAAACAGTGGCATCTTCCAGAGGGGCTTGATATTTACAAGAATATGCACACACTTTCACAGAAATGGTAGCATGTACACACACTTTGCATCACCGGTTCTTTACTGAACGGTGTATCTTGGTGGCCACTCCACATCAGTACACATCATTCTTTTTATTGATGCAGAGTATTGCACTGTAGGAGTGAACCATAAACAATGAACAATTCCCTACTAAGGGACATTTAGATTGTTTCCCCATCTTTTACTATGACAGTGCCCCAGTGAAGAACCTTTGGCAGATGTCATTGTGTGCAGGTGTAAATGAACTGTAGGATAAATTCCCAGAAACGAAATTGCTGGGTCAGAAAATACATGCACTAGAAATTTTGACAGATTCTGATCTGTCAAATGTTTTTCACAGTTGTTCTATATCCTCTTATGGGGTAATGTATGAAAGCACCTATTTTTCTATAAACTATCCATTGGTATGCTTTGCCTGTGCAGATAAGCTGGGCATCTTTGTCTTAGTGATTCGCAGGCATTACTTGTACAATAAGGAAATTAGCCCTCTGTCTGTAGTTGCAAATATGGTCTTTCCCCCAGATTGTGTTAGCCCTGTGATTTTGTTAATTATTTTTAATGCAGACATTTTTGATTCTTTATGACTTCTACGTCTTGTCACACATAGTGTTATCAGGTGTCTGCTGCTGTGTAACGAATTATTTCAAAACAATGGCAGTCATTTTACTATCATTTCTTGTGGTTCTGGACATTGGCTGGACTCAGCTAGAGCTTCTTTTCAGGCTCTTGCATGTAGTCAGAGGCTGGTTGGGCTGGAGTCACTCCGATGTCTGCTTATCAGTGCTGGCTGTCAGCTGGGCCCTCGGCTAGGCTGTTGGTCTGGACGTCTACACAGGACCTCTGCCTGTGGCCTGGACTTCCTGCCAGCCTGGAGCCTGGGCTCCAAGCCTAGGCCATTCCAAGAAAACAGAAAGGGGAAACCTCTCAGCCTCTTAAGGTCTGAGCCTGGAAATAGTACTACATCTCTTCTGCCAAATTCCATTGGTCATGCAGTCATGGAGTCTTTTTTCTTTCTTTCTTTTTCTTTCTTTCTTTCTTTCTTTCTTTCTTTCTTTCTTTCTTTCTTTCTTTCTTTCTTTCTTTCTTTCTTTCTTTCTTTCTTTCTTTTTTTAAGATTTTATTTATTTGTTTGAGAGAGAGGGAGGGAGGAAAAGGGGCAACAGGGGAAAGGGGCAGAGGAAGAGAGAGAAGCAGACTCCCCGCTGAGCAGGGAGCCCGATGCGGGCCTCGATCCCAGGACCCTGGGACCATGACCTGGGTCCTGGGACCATGACCTGAGCCGAAGGCAGATGCTTAACGACTGAGCCACCCAGGCGCCCCTTTCTAGCTAGTCTTACGTGACTGGTCATATGTGAGGTAGTAAAGGGCTGTTGTTTTGTGGTTATTTGCCGCAGTACACTAATATAGGTAAGGACATATCTCAGGGCCCCTTAGGGCCCCTTTAGGAGCAGAGTTAGGTGCTTGTGGCCTGTTTCATTTCCGAGGCTTTGTGAGAACAGGGTTGGCTCAGAATATCTGCCTCAACCACAAACTAGCCAGATGGCATCAGGCAAAGCATTTCTGATGGATCCTTGGTTTCCAAACCACAGAATGGGGGACCAATCATTGGATGTCATGGTGGTCAGTATGCACTAAGCCCAGGACCAGAGCCTGGGAAGTCCACAGGAAATGCTGACCGAATGGGATTGACTTTGATCCTCACCTCTTTGGTCAGGGGAAGGTAATGGGCCCAAGTCATGCCCATGTCCACGTCAGGCACTCCCTGCCTCCCTGGCTTCACGCCCACCGCTATGGCACTTGCCCCCTACAATCCCCTCCCCTGCTCTAGGCTCTGGACCCCTCCTGCCCTTGGTCAGGGGGTGTAGAGGACTCAGGGCTCTCGGCCCTTGGGATCTTTCCTAACCATCTGGCTTCTACCCCATCTCTAAGATTTGTCCCCATTCCAACTTCTGGAATCTTGGACCTTGAGCCTGAGCCAACCTAGTAAGCCTCCTGAGCCCCGACCAGCTGTCCTGGGGGCCTGCTTGACTCTCTGCTCCTCTGTTGCTCCCAGCCCTGGCTAGAATCCAGCCTTGGTCCCCTGGGTTGGGGGCCCCACGGCAGCACCCCAGGGCTGACCTTGCTACCTAGCCCCCTCTCCCCACCCACTCAGGCATAGAGTGACTCAGCCTGGGCATGCATCCCAGACACACCTGAAGGTGGAACTGCCATGGAGTAGCTGCAGGCTGGGAGGCAGGGAGTATGGCTGCCTCCTAGGCCATGGTGAAGGGCTACAAGAGGCAACATATAGAAAAGTGCCTGCAAGTAGGGGGCACAATGCAGGTGCCCATAAATGCTGGTCAGATCTCTGATTCAGAGTTATGTGCTGCCCAGCTGTTCATGTAAAAAATGATTGGTCATATTATTCTAACATGTTATTAGAGCTAACACTTACTGTGTGCCAATGGTGTCTGTGGCTGTCCTTCAGGTCACCACATGTTGTCTTCACAGCGACTCTCTGCGGTGGGTGCTCTTAGTATTCCCATTTTGCAGATGAGGAAACTGAGGCCCAGAAAGGTTAAGAAACTTGTCCAAGGTCTCACAGCTGGTAAGTGGCTGAGCTGATATTTAAACCTAAGTACTGAGATTACTCTCGAGCCTGAGGATGATGGCCATCATAGATGGGGCCAAGCAGGGGGAGCCGCTCTGAGCTGCATCCCCAGCCACAGCCCAGGCCTGGACCTCTGTGCTTTCTGTCACCACCTCTCAGTGCCTGCACGCCTGCCAACACCAACTCCCCCAAACTCATAATGGAGATGGCAGGGAAGTACTTGGTGACTTGAGATAGGTGCTCAACTGCCGGCCCAGCTCAAAGCCTCAGAGCACCCCACACGGTCCAGGAACCCCTCACTTTGTGGGTGGGCTAGGGGCAGGTTAGGCTCCTTCCTGTTTCCTGCGCTGACCCCCCTGAAACCCTCTCCTCCCTTCAGGAGCTCAGGGACCCCACTTTCTCAGGAAAAAGCCTAATATCAGTCATGTACACTCTAGTAAAAGGAACCTGGTTCTCCTTTGGATACCCTCGTCTCATTCTAGACTCCAAACTGGCTTCTTTTGACATGGAAAGCTCATTGAAATGTCTTGAGTATATCATAAATCTTAGACAAGAAACTTTTCAACAAGGCTATCACTCCAAACACAGAAAAGGTGAAGGTAGTTCAACTGCCCAAACCAGAGGCTCTGCAAACAAGGCCTTGAGTGGCATATGGAAATGTGAGCAGGGCTCCTATAAGGCCTCGATAAGATCCTCTTCTCTCTAAGGCCCAATTTCTCATCTGAGGAGAATGCACTAGGCCAGGGATCGGGAAACTTTTTCTGCAAAGAGCCCAGTAGAGCTGGACTGGAGCAGAGCTTCTCACTTTCACGTGCGCACAAAAATTACCTGGGGATCTTCTTAAAATGCAGATTCTAATTCAGTAGACTTGGGTGAGACCTGAGACTCTGCATTTCCTATAAGCTCCCACCTGTTGCTGCTGCTGATCCATGGAGTGCATTTTGAGTAACAAGAGGCTAGGGAAACTTCCAGCTCGGCTGCTCTCCGAGATCCTAAGTGACACTCTGATGACAGATCCTGCTGTTCACTGAAGAAATGCTCACTCGGGTCTGAACTCAAGTGAGCCCCAGCATTTTCTGTGCAACCTTCGCCTCTGTCCCATGGTTATCTTGCTTTCTTTCTGTATTTGCTGTGTTTTTTCTCTTACCTCCTGCCATTAGAGCATAAGCTTCTTGAGAGCAGGGCCTTTGTTGCTTTGTTTGCCACTGTCGTCCTGCAGTCTTGCTCATGCCAGGTGCTCAGAAAACATTTGTTGAGGGAATGAATAAATGATGCTGGTGGGCGGCGCCTGAGTGGCCTCCCTCCTGGCTCATCCCCGCGGGGCCATTGTCGTTTTATCACCACCTAGTGGGCACTTCTGTGTACTGCGGGGTGGGGGAGAAAAAGGCTCTGCGTGTTTGATTTTGACCCAGGCAGAAGGTAGAGGCCACTGTGGGCAGCGAGTTGCCCCTTCTGGTGCCCATATTATCTGTGTTCTAGTCTGCTGGCACAGGAGGGGAGCCTTCCTGGGGGCGATGGCATTTGAGCTGAACAGTGAAGGCGACAAGATGTGGGAATGAGAGAGGGAACAATGGCATTCCTGGCAGAACAGACACCGTGACTGGACGTCCCGAGGCTCGAAAGCATGGGCATCTGGCAAAAGGGAAGAGAAGCAGAAGCCGCTGAGATAAGCAGTGGAAGATGAGACAGGTGATGATATAGGAGGAGGGGAAGAGACCCCAAGGAAAGGGAGCTTCCCCTTAGTGAGTGTTGGATCCGTGCCAGGCGCTTCCTGCACACAAGTTCACTTAATCCCTGTGAAGGCCAATGAAGCAGATTTTAGGACCCCCATTTTACAGATGAGGCAATTGAGGCAGAGATCAGCAAAGTGACTTGTCCAAGGTCACACAGCTGGTAAGGGGCAGAACCAGGTTTGAATTTAGATCATCTGCTATCTCCTCCCTGATGGAGTGCCTTCCCCTGGCTTGTGCTTGGAGGGGGGTGCATGTTGATGGGGCACATGCAGGAAGCCAAGGGGCTGGGGTTCAAGACACCCAGAGATGTTTGCTCCTCTTCATGGGCTCAGGGCCTGACAGCACATCACCCAGAAGTCTCCCTCTGCTCACCTGCATGGTCCTAGACCTCCTGGCCTGGGTGGCAGGACACCCGGATTCTAGTCTGTGCTCCCCTCACCTCTCTGGCCACAGAGGACAATAGTTATAATGACTTGGAAGAGGACCTCAGGGAACTCTTGCTCACCCATTATACAGATATGAAAACTGAGGCCCAGAGAAGAAAAAGAACTTCCCTGATGATGCGCACCAAACTAGACTCAAGACAGCTTTCATCCTGGCCCCTGCCTGGGCTCCCATCTGGTGGCTGGAAACTGATGCTACCATACAGAGGGCCTGAGCCCTGGCCACAGAGGGTGGCAGAGAGTCCAGCAGGGCCCCCTTGGCCAGCCAGGGCCTTTGGGAAATGTGTTTGAATTTCATTTCCCAGCGAGGCATGTCCGCAGGGAGAGGGTGAGCGTGTGGCGCTGCCGGCTGGGGGGCTACGGCCTCTTTAAGGAAGGAAAGGAGGCTTAGCAGGACTTGTCCCACAGGCTTTCAGGAGACCCACCAGGGCAGAGGGAAGAATGAGGGGTCACCCAGTTCTGGAAGCAGACCTGGAACCCCCCCTGGACTTTCAGCTCTGCTGCAGCCCTACATCTGGCTCAGGAAGTCACCTGCCCCTTTCTCAGCCCCTGGGCCAGCTCTTCTGGAAAGCAGAGGACGCTGGCCTGGGGGACTTGTGCACGGGGGAGCCACCTCCACCCAGGACTGAGCCCAGTTCTGTCAGGCTTCAAACTATGGGATCTTCACCACCACATAGGCCTGACAATGGGCACTGTTACTATTCCTCAAAAAAACTGAGAGACAGAGAGACAGAAGGACTTGCCCAAGTTCACCAAGTTTGGTGCAGGCTTCAAGCCCAGGATACAGTGACCAAAGCCTTTGACCACAACACCCATGACTGCCCTGACCCAAGCCCCCGGCCAGCCCCAGTGGCTCCTTCTGTCACCTCCCCAGGGATTAATTCATCCATGGCCTCAGGGCATCTCTTGGAGCTTCTGCTTCTGCCCAGAGCCCCGCGCTACAGCCTGGGATGCTGGCTGGAAGCCTCTGGCTTTGTGTTAGTGACCCCCACCATACACAGCCCACTCCTCTGACCCTCACCACTTACCTGGTCCTCTTCCTCGAGAACCAGGGGCTCCACCAGTGCCAGTACCCAGTGCCCAGCTGTGGTGGACAGTCCATAAACGTGTTCTCTGTGAGGGGGCCCCTCCAAGGGTGAACACCCCATTCTTCAAATGGGAAAACGGAGTGTTAGCAGGGGATAGTGACCTGCCTGGATCACCAGCAGGCTCCAGGCAGAGCAGTGACCTGCCCAGGCCTCTTGATGTCCAGGCTCAGGTTCCCTCCACGGGACGATTTGGCTTAACAAAGCTCCCCCAGCCGCTGTGCTGCCCGAAGTCTCCACGTGGATGCAAAAGTTGGCATCTGGGCCACTGTTCTGCCTGCCGGGCAGAGGCCTGTCACCCAGATGCTGCCCACCCCAGCTGGTGCACAGACTCCAGGAATGCGCTTCACTGGGAACAGAACTGGAAAAGGTTGCTGAAGATAACTGTAGTCGATTTCTAGGACTCCCTGAAGTGGGCACGACTATTTCTGCTGGGGATTTTTTTTTTTTTTTTTTTTTCCCAGAGTCATTTCCTTAATCCTTTTCAGGGCATGGCTGAGACTTAGTAACAAGCTGTAACAGCTGGAGTACTTGGTTCTGGGAGCAGGGAAGGACGGTTCATTCTTAAATGAGCTTTCTTGATGGCTGAGCTCAGCTATGGCAAAGGGGTTGGGGGTGGGGAGCAGGGATCCAGGGCCTGAACAACAACAGTGCTAGCATAGGACCAGAGGTCAGCACCCCCATTAAACAGATGGAGCCACGGAGGCCTGGGGAGGCTGTGGGGTAGGGGGAGTGGCACAATTCCATGTGCCGACTGGACTGTGGGTTCAACGGGGTGGAGCCACGGAGAGGGGGCCATCTCCCCGGAGCCTGGGTTGGCCATCAGGCACCTCAGGACCTCGGGGCAGGGCCATCCCGCTGGAAGGTTCCCTGCAGGAGGAGAGGTTGTGTGG